GAAATACATGAAGAGAAATTATTGCAAAGTATATGTATATTTAATGGCTAACACATTTTAGCCCTTTTATTCAATCTTTTCAACTGTGGAAATAGAATATGCTCTCTCAACTGAAATAAATTTTTTTCTTTTTAGGATTAGATAGAAGATAGGCAAAGTTCTTCTTGTTCCTCATGGAATCTTGTTTGCAATACTTACGTATAACTCTTAAGGCTCTTCAGGGTCCTTTTAGGTCAGGGATTTTTTTTTAAGTGTGTGCCCACAGATTTTAGACAAGCAGGTAGAGTGAAGTTTAATAATGCTTTAAGACATGCTCATAAAATTTACATATGCCACTGTACTTACATTTGTGTACTTTGCTAAATAAAGACACTTTATTAAAAGAAGTTTTTAAGTACAAATATTTCAGAAATGTGAACTTTAAGCTAGTATACTAGATCATCTTGAATTTAATAAATTAAGAAAAACTTTCTACAAAAAATAGTCTTGTTAACAATATATTAAGAAGAGGTCAAAGAAGCCTAGAAAGGGTAAGGTGCTTGCTTGCCTTCTGAGTGGCCAAGCCAGATTTGATCCCTGACGCCACAACTGGCCCCTGGAGCCCTACCAGACGTGACCCCTGACTATAGAGTAAACCCTGAGTACCACAGGGTATGGGCCAAAACCCCAAAAGATTAATAATTAAAAAAAAACCCAACTAGGGAAAGTTTGTATAAATTGAACGTGCTACTAAGTCAATGGGCTGGAGCAATAGCACAGCGATAGGGCGTTTGCCTTACAAGCGGCCAACATGGCCGACCCGAGTTCGATTCCTCCGCCCCTCTCAGAGAGCTCGGCCAGCTACCGAGAGTATTCGATATGCCAAACACAGTAACAACAAAGAGAGCTCGGCCAGCTACCGAGAGTATTCGATATGCCAAACACAGTAACAACAAAGAGAGCTCGGCCAGCTACCGAGAGTATTCGATATGCCAAACACAGTAACGTCTCCAATGGAGACGTTATTGGGCCCACTCGAGCAAATCGACGATCAACGGGAGGGCCTTTACCTTTACCTTTACCTTACTAAGTCAATATTTTAATGCAAACTAACAGAAAGGCAGAATAAAAAAGTATACTGAAACAAAGATATTACAATGAAGTTTCAATAAACAATGTATCAAAGAAAAACCATCCCCTGTCAAAAGTATTATTTAATGTATATTTATGAAGCATGGACTCTTAAAAATTAGTATTTTCATCTTCAGGTAAATTGTTTAAAAAAATAGCAGAATAAAAATTACTCAGTGTAGACCTAGGATATGGAAAGGTACATTTGACCATACATTTTTATTTATATATTTTTGGTTTGGGGATCATATCAAGTCATGCTCAGTGTTACCTCCTGGCTCAGTGCTCAGGGTCATTCCTGGTAGTGTTCAAGAAAATGTGCAGTGCTGGGAATAGAAATTAGGCCTTTCATATACAAGCTTGCATTCCAGCCTATTGAGCAATCTCTCTGGTCACTTGATTATATTTTTAATGAGCTTACATACCAAAACAATATAAATGTTGCTGGAAAATCAAAGTGAACACCACAGTTATACACAAAAAATAGACTAGAGCTTAGTGATACAATGTTTTAGTCCTAACGTATAGCCTTAACAGTCAATGATAGCATATAATAAAGTGCAAAAGCCTAGAAAAAAATAGCAATATGACCAGAATACATTGGAAAATTATCATTCAATCATTACTGGCAATACAGACTCACAGTTTCAAGTCACGTTGAATGTCCAAGACTTAAAACAGTTACTAATACAAAATATTAGATTAAAAACTGTTTAAGTTTTGCAATAGTATGCGGTACATCTGTGTCGAAGGAAATTGCAAAGAAAATAAGTTTTCCATAAATGGTTCTATCAAATGAGAAAAACATCCTAAACCACTATCAGCCTACAGCACATACACTATTAAAATTAAATCCAAGAGGATGTTCCTAACATTTTGTTATTTCAACTTCCTAATTTTTAATTAGACACAAATTTGTAATTTCATTAATAAATAAGAATCACTGGGGTTGGAGTGATAGCACAGTGAGTAGGGTGTTTGCCTTGCAAGCTGCCAACCCGGGTTCAATTCCCAGCATCCCATATGGTCCCTTGAGCACTGCCAGGAGTAATTCCTGAGTGCAGAGTCAGGAGTAAACCCTGAGCATCGCCAGGTGTGACCCCCCTCCCCCAAAAAACCAAAAAACCGAGAATCACTGTATCACTGTCATCCTGTTGTTCCTCGATTTACTCAAGCGGGTGCCACTAATGTCTCTATACATCCCAGCCCTGAGATTTTAGCAGCATCTCCTTACTCGTCTTTCCCAATGACTAAAATTTCATTCAGAGTCAGGGGAATGAGACCTGTTATAGTTACTGTTTTTGGCATATCGAATACGCCACGGGGAGCTTGCCAGGCTTTGCCTATGCAGGCAGGATACTCTCAGTAGCTTGCCGGGCTCTCTGAGAGGCATATATATATATATATATATATATATATATATATATGTATGTATATATATGTATATTTCTCTCTATGATTTGTTGCCTACTGTCTAAAATTAAAACACATATATTAAAAATAGGCCTAGCCACTCAGAAATTTTCCATATTATTTTTCAGGAATGCATTCATATTGTAAGCACAAAAAAAATTAAATGTGTTTGAAACCTTGTATTTAGGAATACAAAAATCTACTTTTTCACTTAATCTTAAACAAAAAAACAACAACTTTTTTTCTCATGAAAATAATCTTCTCGAGGACTGGGAATGTGACTCAGCAGTAAAGTAAATACTTCTTATGTGTAAGGGCCTGGGTTTGATTCTTGACACTTCATAAAAAAAGAAAAAAACAAAATCTATGCTGATTTTCTCCACACCTATACCAGGAAATATTTTTGTACTTTCTTTTTTCTGCTGGTATTCAATAAAAAGTTCCAACTAGGCATCCAGTCTTTTAAAATACATTTTTAATGGATTATTTTCAAGATAAGAAAATAGATTTTATATTCAAAAAATAGTCTTAGTGATTAAGTTTGCATATAAAACGTGTTCTGAAACTTCCTGTAGCACAATGCTACTGCCGTAACAAAAATTTGTTTCTAAGCATAAAGACAGCTAGAACATCATACAATCTATATTCAGTGAAATTGACATACAGGGGAAAAAAAATTGGACAGGGGGATAAGAAAGGATAGTTGTGAAGGGTTTTACACATCTGGGGTTGTCAGTGGTAACTCCCACTGACAGAGTGGGCAAGGATTCAATTAGCTCATCTGACTATAGAAAGCCATAAAGACATGCATCTAAAGTCAGTTTTTGAACCCGACCTTATATTTATATTTGTCCTATACTTTGACTTAGGTGAAAGACAATGAAAGTAAACTGAAACAGCATTGTTTAACAATACTGATTATATAATTAATTTTAAAGAATTCCTTAATAGATGAGCTTAATTGATATAAAATTTTGGATCAAATAAACTGAAACAGTCCTGAAATCTTTTGACTATTAGTCTTAACGCTGTAGTTAAAAGAATCAGATGAATAACTGAAGTTAACTTTTATCTAGTTTCTGACTGTATTTTATATTGAGATTATCTTTTGAAGATCAGCAATTTAAAAATATTATAGCCTTTATCAACAACACCTATATATATTCAAACCTAAGTAAATGCTTACTTCTTAACAGCATCCTATGTCTCTGATAAAGACAAATGCTGTTATCTTAGTATTAATGTACATTTAGAAATTATTTAAAAATATACTTTACCAAGCTCACATTTCTATGTACATCTAGAGATGTTTTTACACAAACAAATATGTGAATTAGTTCATTTACCTTCATAACTAGTCTTCAAGACAGATTACCACTTTTCTAAAAGCAATTAGTCTGAAGTACAAACTACCTAAGAATCTTAAAGTAACAAACTAGTGAGTGGCAAAAATATACTTGTCTGTTCAGATTTGTCTAATGGAATAAAAAACCTGTTAGTTGCAATTTATTAATTGCACACACTCTTTCTGTTCTTTTTTGGCTTTGGGGCCACACCCAGCTGTGCTCAGACCAAATTCATGCATTTTCTAAACATATTTTAAAAGTGTACTTGTCTGTAGTGAAACTCACATTACTAAAAAGCATAACGCTCAATTCAGGGGGCAAGTACAGCATTTTGATGGTAATATATCTCATTTTTTCAAATCATAGGTTAGGTCACATGCTTGCAACAGTGTTAACGTCGATGGTTTTGATGTAGTTATAAACATAGTTGTCTCACTTCATGACTGCCAAACACCCACAACCCTTCATCAATATCTGTCCCCACTACTTCTGGTCCACCTCATCATTGCTGCTGCATCTATTCTTCTCTTGCTTCCTAGTCTCAGTTCTGTAATACAAGCCCAAGGATTTATTATCACCTGATACTGTCTATTTCCTTGTCATGATTCTCCTATGCCACAGATGAGAGATCATCCAGTATTTGTCCTTCTCCCTCTGACTTATTTTGCTTAGCACAGATTTGCCTAAATTTTCTAAAACCCAGGTTTTTATTATGTCAGGCGGACTCTTTAATAATATTAATGAATTCTTCATTGATTTCCTCACATAATATAAATATACTAAGTACACATAGCATAATCTAATTGAGTGTTGAGTTATTAAGAACAGGATATGAACTTTTTATTTTTAAGATAAAGCCTACCATGGTAACAGAAAACAATGAAGAAACTAATAAAGAAAAGCCATCTTGCAAACAAATTTTCCTTATACTTCATATTCTCAACTAAACTAACTTTTGTGAAGTCTAGTGACTTATTAAAATAGATCTGTTCAATAGCTTAACAAAGGCCAGGATAGACTGTCAAAGGCAATAGTCGTTTTCATTTATCACAGGTCTGGTAATTAATTCATTAGCCTGCCAATCAACTATACTACTAGTGAAATTTGTGAAAGTAGAATGGAACAGCTTACCGTGCACAAGGATGTCTTTGTGATTTTCAGGGTAAAATCTGAAGAAAACTCCAAATCTGAGACAGATGTCATATGGCAATCTATGTGCTACCCATTTAAAAAAGAACAAGGAGAGGAAGCAACTTAGTAAAAACAGCAAAAAAAAAACCCCTAAAACAGTATTTTTTATGTATTTTGTAAAAAATAATTATGCAAATGAAGATTTTGTAAACAATCATTCACATCATTTTGGAATTATTTTCAATTTCATTTTATTTATTTATTTTAAGACTGAAAGTTAGTTTGTTGTACAGATAAGATTGAAAGGTCCAGGTCCCTCCCAGATATTTTCAATTTTAAAGGGTACTAGTCAACTCAGTGCCCGAAGTGAAAAAATAAATGTAAATAAAGGCTACTAGCTCTATCATTAATTTTTTCCCTTTAAATTAGTATTTTAACTAGAACATTTTTTCTTTAAATCAAATAGTCTAAGGAAAATCATTACTTAAATTTTTGTATGTCTCTATGTATCAACCAGATCAGGTTTCTGATTTGCCTTCTTATTTTCCATTGTCTTTCTGTTTTCCAAGTAAAATCATTCTTTTATACACCAGTGATATAAACATATATGTATATATATTTACTACAGTTTATGTACAGTAACTGTTTAACTATTGGTCCAATTTGAAAATAAAATGCTAGTGAATAAGACTAGTTATTTTTAGGATTTGAGAGCTTGTTTGGAGGTTCTAGCAGGGGAGCGCAGCTACTCGTATACCCTCGACTGAAGACCGGTCCATCTCTATTCGGGGAAGACCCTCCTCTTTGACCGAGCGTGCAGCTTCGGGAGGGACGCACGTGGAGCGGTGAGGGAGGAAGGGGACACCCGCCTAGCCAGCATTTGCATTTTGTTAGACATGAGGAACAACCATAACAATTTCAACCAAAGAACAAAAGCAACTTTGATGATTCAACACAGAGAAAAGTAAAAGTCAAAAATCCTTATTTCCCCAACTCTTCCCTGGCTCAAATTTTTCTCACAGAGTGGATGCAACCAACTATGTTTCAGCAATAGCAGTCTAGCTAATTCTGGCCAATAAAGGTGCTGATACGGGATCTGCCAGCCTTAAAACAAATCATTACAGATATAAACTCCTATGACTAAGTTATCCCTATTACAACTACAATATTGTGGTTTGTTTGCAGCCACACTTTGCACTACTTGGGGGGTACTTTTGGCTCTGTGCTTAGAGATTGTTCCCAGCAATATTTGGGGGGGGGAGACAGTTGGGGGGCGGGGCAGAAGGGGCAAGTAAAAATTGGCACCCCAAGACTTGCAAACTATGCATGCCTAACTTCCATTTTAAACAATCTGTTACACTGTGAAAAAGAAGTTACCATGTGGACATCTTTTGTTTACAGGATTGGGGGTTAGACAAATGACTAATTTTTAAAAAGGAGCATACATTTTTTATCAAGCCCTAAATTCTTGCAATTATTTATTCACAGCACTTTTGGGATTAAGAGAAAGAACGAAAAAAAGAAAGAAAGAAAGAAAGAAAGAAAGAAAGAAAGAAAGAAAGGAAGGAAGGGAGAGAGAGAGAGAGAAAGAAAGAAAGAAGGAAGGAAGAGAGAGAGAGGGAGGGAGGAAGAAAGAAAGAAATGTCCTCCTCCACCCTCTTCTTTCTGCTTCGTCTTAAGGCTGAGTTGGCTAAAACTGTATACTCCTACCCAGAGCCAAAAAACTCAAATAAATCCCTTATTATCTGTGTAGCAGAGCAATGAACAATCCTATAATCATTAACTAGGCTGCATTTTCCCCTTAAAAGCAAAATGTAATTATAATCAGCTTGTCCTTGTTAAGAAACTTTGCATATTTATTATTCTATGCAAATTTAAGACTACTTAAGAAAATTAAAACATTTACTGAGTATTTTCTACAGAGAACAATTACTGAGGTGATGAAAGTAATGGTGTCATCTAAAAAAGAAGATAACATTTTGAACCTAACACTGAACAAGATATGTTTGTTTGAATGATAAAGACAAATTAAAGAGATTTTTAAAAAACAATAGCGAATCAAGGAGACTGCTCAAAGGGCACAAGTTTTAAATGTAGGAGGCCCAGTTTAGATTCCTAGCACCACACTGTCCCTTGAGCACCACTGGGAGTGATCCAGGGCAGTAGGTCAGGTGCGGCCCCCAAACTCTGCTGGATATGGTCCCCAAACAAACCAAAAAGGCAAACTGAATTTATTCATTTAACTCAACCTACGTAAATTCAAGCAAGCACAATTCACTAAATAAAACTAGAGATTAGTAGTGCAAGGAATAAGACAATAAAACACAAAAGGAATTAACTGAGAAGCAGGACAATGGTAGGGCTTTAATTTCATTAGGCAAATTCAACATAATCCTTCATTTGAGAAGTCTGGACGAAACCTGAAGGACAGAAATCAAAACTGTGTGTGTGTGCAGTGACTTATGAAAATGAATAATATGGTTGTAAATGAACCTAAAATACTAGGATAGAGCCAATTTAAGTGATGACAAAACAGGAATGTAAGACAGTGGGGCCTTCTGGACTCAAGAAACCGAAGCCATGTGAAAAAGAGATGTCAGGGGCGTTAGAGACAGTATAGCAGATGGGGCATTTGCCTTGCATGGTTTCATCAAAGCATCATATATGGTCGCCTGAGCCTGCCAGAAGTGATTCCTGAGCACTGCCACTTGTGGCCCCCAAAACAAAAACAACAAAATACTGTGACTCGAAAGGGATGAAATAATCAACTGGTAATTATGACTTGAAGCAGTCGTACTGATTTAAAAATAAAGTTTTTAAGAAGAATAAAGTATAAGGACTAGTATTTTGAAGACTTACTTATGAAACCAAGACCCAAAGTCATATAAAACTAAAAATAGTGGCAAAACTGCTAAAAAATAATCAAAATGGCATAACACTTACCTTAATACCACATGGGTCTGATATAAGAGTTTTGGGATCTAAAACTTCCACAACAGCTTCTGGAATAACTGCTTTCTTCATGCAGGACATATTGAAGCCATAGACATCATCCCAGAAAGCAATTCTATCAGCATGCTTATTTGTATCACTTACTGCCACAAGGTTGATAGTGCAAAGATCAGGGTAGACTGCAACAAATAAATTAGGCTAATATTATCTCCCTTTATGGGAAAATTTAATATATAAAATAAGTAACAGCACGAAATCCATTAGTATGTATTACTAGCAAAGGATTATAATGAAGTTGTAGATTAGAGCTTCTTAAATTTATTTAGTCACTGTCCTCTCTCCTGGGGTGGGTGGGGGATAATCTAGTTCTTTAAATGAACAAACTGCGCCCAGAGACACACAAATGAATCTCAGAACCGAGCAGCTCTCAGCAGACATGCCTCCAGATTTTGCACACCCCAGCTGGGAATGGGTGTCGTCTTCTGCCTATTCTCCAGGAAACCTGGCAGCCGCCACCCTCCAGAACTAAGTAGGAATGCCAGGTATGGACCAGAAATGATAATACACACTGGGCCTCACAGGAAAGGTGTGGAGCCAGTCCTTCTCCCCCACCCTGAAACGAGGTCTAAGAATGGCCCTCCTGGCTACTTAACAGCCATGATCCCAGACACACACAAACGAATCTCAGAACTGAGTGGCTTTCGGCAGAAATCTCTCCAAATCTGTCACAGTTACTGTCCTCCCGTTGTTCATCAATTTCCTCAAGCGGACCCAGTAACGTCTCCATTTTGTTTTTGAGACTTATTGTTACTGTGTTTGGCATACTGAATACAGCACGGGGAGCTTGCCAGGCTTTGCCGAGTGGGCGAGATACTCTTGGTAGCTTGCGGGGCTCTCCGAGAGGGGCGGAGGAATCGAACTCGGGTCGGCCGTGTTGGCCGCGTGCAAGGCAAATGCCCTACCCACTGTGCTATCGCTTCAGCCCTCTCCAAACCTAATTATTAAAATTTTAAAATTCCACAACTGTATGGCTGCAAGCAGCGGAACGATATATCATATGCTATTCATAACCAGCAATAGAAAACAAATTATCTAATGTTGCCTCTTTGGCAGGTCTGAGAGTTGGAGAAAAAGTTCTCCAAATAATAATGTTGGGAATGGTGTTGAAATATAGAATGTAATCTAAATAGAGAGAGAGAGAGAGAGAGAGAGAGAGAGAGAGAGAGAGAGAGAGAGAGAGAGTAATGTGGAAATTATCTGCCACACAGGCAGGGGGGGTGAGGGGGGATATATTTGGCGTTGTTTTTGGTGGGAAACGTGTACTGGTGAAGGGATGGGTGTTTGATCTTTGTATGACCAAGACTCAAACACGAAAGCTCTGTAACTGTTCTCATAGTGATTCAATAAACAAATTTAAGAAGGAAAAAATGAAATGAACAACTGCTCAACTGCACCTGAGGCTTCTAGTGCCTGCCCCCCTCTCCCGGTCCCACTGCTCTAGTGCTGGTGTATATCAGAATAAATAAGTTCAACTGTTAAGATTTTTTTTATTTTTAAAGATATATACTGTGGTGATGAAAAAAAGACTTGAAAAGAAGTCAGCAACAGGCACCTATAAAAATAAAAGCAGGATGTGGGGCCTGAGATAGTACATGGGTTAGACACATGCTCCGCATACAGCCAACCTTCCTTCCATCACTGGTCCCACCATGATCCCCTTAGCATCTCCAAGGTGCAGCTCTGTAGGCCCCAGCACCACTGGAGATGGGTTGGGGAATCCCTAGCACAGAGGACCCAAGAAGTAAGTCATTCCTGCACTCATGCACAATCACCCAGAGGTCACCTGCACCGCCAAAATAAAAATAAAGCAGGATGACATTCCTGAAACTTTTATTAATATTTGCTCGAGCGGGCCCAGTAACGTCTCCACTGTGACAATTGTTCCTGTGTTTGGCATACCAAATAACATCACGGGTAGCTTGACAGGCTTTGCCGTGGGGGCGAGATACTCTCGGTAGCTTGCTGGGCTCTCCGAGAGGGGCGGAGGAATCGAACTTGGGTCGGCCATGTTGACCGCTTGCAAGGTAAATGCCCTACTGCTGTGCTATCACTGAGCCAACAAGGGCGACCCAAATTTAGTAATATGAAAATGTAAAATATCCTGCTTCTTAAAATGTATTAAGAGAGTTAGTACAGGAGGTGAAGTGCTCATCCTGCACGCAGCTGCAACACTGGCTTGAATCCCTGGGGTCCTTTCTGAGTACAGAACCAGAAACAGCCCCTGAGCACTGCTAGGCTTGGTCCTCCCCCACGCTTCCCCAAAGCTATGATGCCAGGAGTAATTCCTGAGTGTGGAGCTAGGAATAACACCTGAATATCGCCAGGTGTGATCCAAAAAGCCAAAAAAATTTTTCTTAAAATCCATAAAACAGTTTCCTGCGTCAACAAACTAAAATCTAGTACATATGTGTCAAATAAATACCTAATTTCATTCTTACTAAACTTTAGAATTAAATAATATAGAAATAATGCTGTCTTTTCTCTTCCAAACTTCATTATATCTACAGCTTTAAGAATTTTACTATTCAATGACAGCAGCAATGAACTGTCTTCCAAACAAAGCCTGAGATAAGATCCATTGACATAAAAACAAGTACTTTTTCCAATCTGATATGTAAGAATCAAAAAAAAAAAAAAAGGGCAGTATGTCATTGATAAGAAATTTTTCAAATCTCATGCACTAAGGGGGCATGGGAAGAAGACAGGATGGACATATATAGTGGATTACAACCTGCTGCCATGTAAACTGCGTTCCTTCCATTCTCATTTCCCTCCAATGATATGGTAAGTCTCCTTACTGTTTAAAAGTCCTCACTGATAGAAACTTTTCAAAGTAGCTGATCTGTTATTAAATGATAGCGGGGCTGGAGCTATAGCACAACGGGTAGGGCATTTGCCTTGCACGTGACCAACCCAGGTTTGATTCCCAGCATCCCATATGGTCCCCTGAGCACCGCCAGGAGTAATTCCTGAGTGCAGAGCCAGGAGTAACCCCTGTGCATTGCCAGGTGTGACCCCCCCAAAAAAATCATAACCCAGCATGAGTATTTGCAACATGGGGCTGGAATAATAGCACAGCGGGTAGAGCATTTGCCTTGCACACGGCTGACCAGTGTTTGATCCCCAGCATCTTAGATGGTCCCCCAGCACCACCAACAGTAATTCCTGAGTGCAGAGCCAGGAGTAACCCCTGAGCATCACCAATATGATCCAAAAACCAAAAAAGAAAAGAGTATATGTGGACAGGAAAGTGTTTAGTTTCTTGAACTAGATTTCTGAAATGAGAAAAAAACTATCAAGAAATAGAATTTTAAAGAAACTACAGATACACTGGCATAGTTTTACCATATCATGCCCTATAATTTCATCCTTAAAAGAACATAACAGATCAGGAGCAGCATTTCTGAAAAGTAACAGCTTTAAGCTTTGTGAGCCTTATGATATTTATTCAGACTACTCATCTTGATTACCTTGGTGTAGAGAGCAGTCAAACTGTAAGTAAATGAGCCTGAGAATGTTCTAATAAAACTTTTATCTACAGAAGCAGTCAGCAAGTCAGATACAGATACCCCAGATGGACAGGAGGGAGAAATGAATGAGGTAGGTGATATTCTTTTTTTTCCCCTTTTTTTCTTGTTACTTTATTTTTTTTTTTGTTTTGCTTTGGGGGGCTACACATGGTAGTGCTCAGAGGTTACTCCTGGTCTGCACTATGGACTTGCTCTTGGTGGTCTTGGGGTACCAGATAGGATGCTGGGGCTTGAACCCAGGTCCATCATGTGGAAGGCAAACATAGGGTGATATTCTTGTGCTTCTTCAGTCACAGTAATCAAATACCCTCCAGAATTGTCTACTGCATACATTCAAGTTACTCAACATAGTTCACAGAGTAATTCTATTTTAAAATATCTAAGATCGGGGCTGGAGTGATAGCATAGTGGGTAGGGCGTTTGCCTTGCACGCGGCCGACCTGGGTTCGATTCCCAGCACCCATATGGTCCCCCAAGCACCGCCAGGAGCAGTTCCTGAGTGCAGAGCCAGGAGTGACCCCTGAGCATTGCTGGGTGTGACCCAAAAACCAAAAAAAAAAAAAAATTAAATTAAAAAAAATATCTAAGATCTTCATGCCTAGTATGATCAACTTCTAAATCAATTTCTAAATAAATCATGGCCCACTGGTCAAATCTGCTCCACTGACTTTTTATAAATGAAGTTTAATTAGAATCCCACCAACAGGTACTTTGTTCATTTATGGTCTAAGGCTAAATTATGTTACAGAAACAGGCAGGGTTGAACAGCTGGGGAAAATAGTATGATCTACAAAGGTGAAAAGACTTACTTTCAGACCTTTTGTAGAAAATGTTACCTTTGGTTTGGTATCAACCAGTATGATGTACTAGTAATGCAATTTAAAAATAAGAATTTTTCATACATTAAAAACTACAACATAATGAAATGAATTTTTGAAAGTTTGCAAAATATGATAGTAAGAAAAAAACTGAAAGCAAGAGTGATAGTACAGAGAGTAGGGCACTCATACGGTTCCCCTGAGTTCCACTGCCAAAGGTGATCCCTGAGCAAAGAGCCAGGAATTAGCACTGAGCACAGCTGGGTTTACCCCAAAACCAAAAATTAAATAAACTGAAAAAAAAAAAAGAGAAAAAGCATTTTACTTTTTCTAGTTTTGGAATGGGCTGGAGCGATAGCACAGCGGGTAGGGTGTTTGCCTTGCATGCAGATGACCCAGGTTCAATTCCTGCGTCCCTCTTGGAGAGCGCAGCAAGCTACCAAGAATATCCCACCCGCACAGCAGCGAGGCTGGCAAGCTCCCTGTGGCATATTCGATATACCTAAAACAGTAACAAGTCTCGCAATGGTGACGTTACTGGTGCCCGCTCGAGCAAACTGATTAACAACGGGAGGACAGTGCTACAGTGCCACAGTTTTGGAATATATTTCTCAATACTTTAAAAAGATATAGAAAATAGCTGTTCTTGTGGTTGTTAGAATTTAGAAATTTTTTTCAAGATCTATGAATATTGATGAAGTACATATAATCAATGTTATAGGTGAAACTGGTTCTTTATCCACCTCCCCACAGCTGTCTAAAATTTTGGGG